CTATAAGGACGCTCTCAAATCGTTCCGAGTGGGGATCCGACACACGGCCCCAATGACGGACGAAATGATGAGCATGGTGCGCTCCTCAGTTCTCCGGGAAGTTGGCAAGATCACGGAAGCTGGGAAGGGCCCTCGATTTGTAGGTTGCAGTTTCAAACCTGGTTGGCTGCTAATCACCTGCCAGAATGAGCCGACCAAAATATGGCTGGAGAGCATAACGCCCTCCCTAAAACCCTGGGCCGACGCAGAACTCTCTGTGTTGGACGAGAGAGCGATGCCCAAACCAGCCATTGGAACGGCCTTCATCCCCAGTTCGGAGACAAGGTCGGTCGATGAGGCACTCAGAATGCTGAAGTCCCAAAATGACTGCCTAAATTCCGAACTGTGGAAAATACTCAACCGTAAGGCTGAAGAGAACGGTACAGTCCTGACCGTATCTCTGGACGAGCCTTCGGTTGACTTCCTCAAAACACAGGACTATAAAGTCAACCTTGGCTTTAAAAAGGTCCTGTTCCGGGTCAAGGGATCTCCACGCCTACACAGCAGCCTACTTCGGACGGTAATGGAAGATCTGCCACAGAAATACCCACACCATCCGAAGCGGCGAAGGGCGTAGACACCAACGCCAAACCCGCCAGAGGCAGCTTTCCCCAGCCAAAGGGGACCTCGCAGACGAGGATCCCCAGTTTCAAGACGGGACGGAAAGATCGCGGCAGGAGCGCCACAGCTTCCAATCGCAACCCAAAGGGACGCCCACGTCCCACAGGGAAGGCGAAAGGAAGCTGCTAACACGCCCACACGCAAGAAATGTATCAGAGCCAACATTGTCCAGGTCAACTTACATCATGCTATGGCAGCAACAGCGGTCATAGAAAACCTCTTCCGCAAAAACGACCTGGACCTTGCTCTGATACAAGAGCCATGGCTCAACAAAGCCACGCCTTTAGGCCTCAATGCCTCAGGTAATATTTTTTTTTTTTTTTTTTTTTTTTTTTCACGTCAGGAAATCCATCATGGAGACCCGCACGCCTCGGGGGAAGCGTGGGGGTACTGCCGGACTCCTACCGGCTAAAACCCCTTGGTGTCCTCCGCTCGCCACTAGCGCCGGGGTTACGGGATCGACGTAGCAGTCCACCGCGACCCCGGCAGCGCAGGCTCTGCAGCCTCCTCCTCGAGTGGCGCGCGCGGACACCACGCGCGCCTACTCCCAGCCTCACCCTCCTTAGGTGACGGCAGACGCCCCCGCATCTGCCGCCGAGAGGCTCTGGGTCGGTGGCGACGGGCCGGACTCGGCCTCCATCGCCTCCGTCTCCTCCGCCCGCGCCGGTGCGCGGCTCCCTCGCGAGCAGTTCTTACCGCTGCCCACGGCATGACTCGCCGGACGACCCGCCGCTGCGCAATAAACGCAATGCGGCGGGGCAGTGCAACCAGCAGCCTTGTGGCCCTCTCCGCCGCAACGGAAGCAGGCCTGACTGCGGTCAACCGCCGATTTGCACTGCGTGCCCACATGCCCTTGCAGTAGGCAGCGGTAACAACGCATGGGTTTCGGCTCTAGCACTGTTACGTGCGCCGATACCCATCCCACTCGTAAGCGGCCCTCCGCTTGAAGCTTTTTGGCGGCCACCATTGGGCAACGAACCCATGCAGCCGCGTTGCCAGACCCCGATCGGCGGACTTCCCCTGCCCTAACTTCCTGCTCCGCGCACCCACCACAACGCGCCACAGCAGCGACGACATCCGCTGGCGTGGCCGTGTCGTCCAGGCCTACAATCCTAAGATCCGCCGTCTTCACAGGACGGGAGACCTGGACCACCTCCGCGGGCAGGACTTCCCTGAGCTTTTCAGCGAGGGAGTCCGCCTTGTCACCGCTAGCGGCGCCTGGCAACTCCAGGATTCGCGCGCCAGTGATGGCCTGCCTATAGTGGAGCTCAGTGATCCCTATAGTCTCCAGGGACACCTTCTCCTTCGCTTCTCTAAGTAGAGCCGCATACGTTACGCCTTTCTCGGCAGCCCCGGGCTGCAGCGACAAAACTACCGCTGCAGAGCGAGGCGGCCTCAGTCTGGGCTTCCTCTTGTTTCCCGCGGTCGCTGCCTTTTGGGGCTGCGATTTAGTCGCCGCGGGTTTCTTCGCCGCATTCTTGTCCGGTTTCTTCGCACCACGACGAACCACGGTCACCCAACTCTCCGTCATGGTGCGGGGTGCGGGCGCCGGCTCCTGTACTCCAATAGGAGCAGCCTGACTAGTAGCTGCCGGTGCAATAGCAGCCGGTGCAGGAGCCGACACCTTTCCTCTTCCTTTCCCTTTCGGCCCAGCCGAACCGCTCGCCCGCACAGCAGGCGTGCTTTCACCTTCCTCCTCTTCTTGGACCTCTGCGGTTCCTCTGCGGTTTGGCCGCCGCGTGGCCCCTTCGCAGGCTGCGTTTTGGCGGGAGCTGCCTGGCTTGCGCCAGCGCCTTTCCGCTTCCCGCGTCGCACAACCGTCGACCAGCCCTCCGCATTTGTTGCCGAGGTTGACGGCTGTGGGGCGCGTCCGCCACTGGGCTCCCGTTGCGGGGCCCTGTTAGTCCCTGGACCGGATGATCCGGCAGTAGGCACACTTCTGACCTTTGGAGGCCGTCTCCCCTTCGCCGAGATCCGCTCTTCCATCGCGGCGAAGCGGCTCTCCATCATTTCGCCTACTCGCCGGATGATCCGGTCTTCGGCATCCTCCCTTAGGACCCGGGGCGGGGTACCTTCCGGCGCAGCAGCCGCCGTTCCGCCAACTACGACTGCGGGGAGCTCAGCCGCAGTCTTCAGCCTCTCCACCTCCTGCAGGGCCTTCTGAAGGGCGCGTCGGTCTAGAGCGTTCAGTTGCTTCAACTCCTCCAGCTTCTGAACGCTCTCCCGCGTTTGCCGTTCCCACCCCTCTCTCTCTGCCTTTAGGGCTGCCAGCTCATCAGCCAGCGCGGCAGAAGATTGCGACGCCATGCGTAGCTCCCGGAATTTCTTCCGCTCCTCCACGGCCTCTTTTAACATGGCCCTCTTCATCTCCTGTACGGTGTGGAGCTCTGCGCGCAGTTTTTGGACCTCTCTCCTGAGGGAGTCCTCTTCGGAGTTGGGGCCCGATCTCGCCTGTTAGAACGTCCGCCGCCGAACAGATCGCATAGACTGCGCTCTTTATCTCCCTGACAATAGTGCCCTTCAGGTTCCTCGATTTCTTCACTGCTTCGAGTACCTGACGGGCACTATTCCCAACTTCGGTCCCTAGCTCGTCGGAACCCAGCATGTGGTCATCCTCGGTCGCTCTTATGGCTGCAAGAGCCCCAGACCCGGAGGACTCGGCTTCGGCTTCGGATGCTGAAACCTCTGTCTCCATACGCGATCCGGGTGTGGCCGTTCGCATTCCTCCTCTGACTCGACCAGTTCTAGACCCAGCCGAGGAAACCTCGACCAGGTCGACCTCGTCGTCATCGTCGGAGTCTAGCTCCCGACGCTTCTCCACAATTCGCCTTTTCCTGTGTTTCTTGGGCGGCGAGGTACTCCCTCTCGCCAGCCCAAGGCTGTCTTCGGACCTTATAGACAGCGAGGATCCAGTCCGCTCGGAGTCCAGTTGTGCCTCCATCTCTATCGCCTTGAGCGCCTCTAGTTCTTCGTAGGCCTCAACACGTCTCGTCATCATCTCCCTATACTGCTCTTGAATGCTGGTCGTGTCCCCCCCAGAAGACGTGGGACAGCCCACCCCCGGCAAATCCGGTGCGGTGGAGGAGGATTCTCCGGTCGCTGAACGACCGGTACCTCCCTGGGGTAATTCCTTTTTGCGATCAGCCATTTCATTGTGTTCCTTTTTACGGGTGTGGTCCCGAACTCCCGCCAACGACGACGAAAAGGAAAGAGAAAGATAAACCAAAAGACAGAAAGACAAAAGATAGAAACAGACAGAGAATAACCAAAAACAAATAAACAACAAAATAATTGAAATAAAACAAAAAGAAGACGAAACAAACCGAAAACAAAAGAAGAAACGAACCAAAAATAAAAACGAAGAAAAGTTGGGGGGGTTCGCCGGCTCCGGCAGCCTCGACTTTGTCGAGGCATGGGAACCGCGAACACGCCCAACCCGCCGGGCTACTGGCCGACATAGTAGCAGTATCCCGAAGGAACGACTACTATCCCGCCCGGGGCGTACCAGAACCAAACCATTGCTCGGCCACCGTTCCCCGCGGACGTATCCACGAGGATGGGGAAGCCTCCCAATGGCAGGCCCATACTAGGAGGTTGCCCGACCCACGCCCCAACCTAACCTAACCTAACCTAACCTAACTATATATGTACAAACTTAACCTAACTAATTAATAAAAGGAAAAAGAAAGAAAAGAAAAAACACGAAAGAAAAACAAATCACACTAAAACACTAAGCCAAAAAATGTGGTCAGACAAAAAAAAAAAAAAAAAAAAAAAAAAAAAAAAAAAAAAAAAAAAAAAAAAAAAAAAAAAAAAAAAAAAAAAGGTTAGGTTAGGTTAAAAAAAAAAAAAAAAAAAAAAAGGTTAGGTTAGGTTGGGGCGTGGGTCGGGCAACCTCCTAGTATGGGCCTGCCATTGGGAGGCTTCCCCATCCTCGTGGATACGTCCGCGGGGAACGGTGGCCGAGCAATGGTTTGGTTCTGGTACGCCCCGGGCGGGATAGTAGACGTTCCTTCGGGATACTGCTACTATGTCGGCCAGTAGCCCGGCAGGTTGGGCGGGTTTAGGATTCCTATGCCTCGACAAAAGTCGAGGATCCCGGAGTCAGGAACCCGCCCAACTTCTCTCTTCGTTTTGTTTTTGGTTTTGTTTCTTCTTCTTTTATTTGGTTGTTTCGTTCTTCTTTTTATTTGGGTTTTAATTTGTTTTTGGTTTAGTTTGTTTTGGTTGTTTTCTATTTGTTTCTATCTTTTGGTCTTTCTGTCTTTTTGTTTGTTTCTTCGTTTTTCTGTTTCGTCGTGGAAGTTCGGGACCACACCCGTAAAAAGGAATAAACAACAATGATGGCTGATCGCAAGAAGAAATTACCCCAGGGAGGTACCGGTCGTTCAGCGACCGGAGAATCCTCCTCCACCGCACCGGATTTGCCGGGGGTGGGCCGTCCCACGTCTTCTGGGGGGGACACGACCAGCGCTGAAGAGTTGAGGAACATCATGACGAGAAGAGTCGAGATCCTGGAAGAGCTGGAGGTTCTCGAGGCTCTTGATATAGAGACACAGATGGACTCTGAGCGGACAGGTTCGTCGCTGTCAATAAGATCAGAGGACAGCCTTGGGTTGGCGAGAGGGAGTACCTCGCCTCCCAAGAAACACCGCAAGAGGAGGATCGTCGAGAGACGTCGGGAGTTGGACTCCGACGATGATGAGGTAGACCTGGTGGAGGTATCCTCGACGGGGTCCAGATCGAGTCGGGCAAGGGGCCAGCATGTGGCCAAGAGAGGAGCGCGAACAGCCACGCCAGCATCCCGGATGGAGACCGAGGCTTCGGCGTCCGAAGCTGAATCCCCCGGGACTGCGGCTGCTGTCTGCCAGGTAACCGAGCAGGATTACATGCTCGGCTCCGACGAACTCGGAGATAAGGTGGAGGAAGGTGCCCGGCAAGTGCTAGTCGCCGTGAGGAAGTCTGGCAATCTAAAAGGGACTATAATCAGGGACATCAAAGTGGCAATTGGCGCCATCCGCTCGGCGTCTAGCACCCTGAAATTGAGGTCCGGGTCTTCCGAAGAAGACGCCCTCAGGAGGGAGGTCCGCAAGCTGCATGCCGAACTGGAGGATGTGAAGGCAATCAAGGCGGCCATGCTGAAGGAATCCGTGGAGGAGCGGAAGAAATTCCGCCAACTCCAAATGGCGTCACAGTCCTCCGCCGCGTTGGCCGACGAACTGGCCTCGCTGAAAGCGGAGCGAGAGAGTTGGGAGCGGCAAGCGCGGGAGAGCGTCCTAAAACTTGAGGATCTGAAGAAGCAGAACGCTCTAGACCGCCTTGCCCTGCAAAAAGCCCTGCAAAAGGTCGAGGAGTTAAAGACTGCGGTAGAGCTTCCGCCTGTCGCAATAATGGGGACCACAACGGCTGAGCCGGAAGGCGCGCCGCCTCGGACCCTTACGGAGGACGCCGAAGACCGGATGATCCGGCGAGTAGGCGAAATGATGGACAGCCGCTTCGCCGAGATGGAAGAGCGGATCTCGGCGAAGAGGAAACGGCCCCCAAAGATCAGGAGTGCGCCTACTGCTGGATCATCCGGTCCAAGGACTGACAGGGCCCCGCAGCGGGAGCCCAGTGGCGGACGCGCCCCACAGCCGTCGACCTCGGCAGAAAACGCGGAGGGCTGGTCGACGGTTGTGCGACGCGGGAAGCGTAAGGGTGCTGGCGCAAGCCAGGCAGCTCCCACCAGTACGCCACCAAAGAAGGGGCCACGCGGCGGCCAAACGCAGGAATCGCAGCGGAAGAAGAAGCCCGCGCGGAAGGTGAAGGCGCGCCCCCCTCGGTCATCGGCTGTGGTTCTGACCATAAGGCCGGGAGCCGAGGAGAGGGGCGTCACCTATAGGTCGGTGCTCACCGATGCGAAGGCCAATATCTCATTGGCCCAGCTCGGTATCACCGACCTTAGGTACAGAGTGGGAAGGACTGGGGCCCGTATCCTCGAAGTCCCCGGATCAGACACAGGCGACAAGGCGGACGCGTTGGCTGCCAAAATAGAGGAGGTCCTGCCCGAGGACGTCCGGGTCTCGAGACCTGTCAAAACGGCCGAGCTCAGGCTCGTCGACCTGGACGACTCGGTGTCGGTAGCCGACGTGGTGGTCGCAATCATGCGGGACGGGGGGTGCCGGGAGTCCTCGGTGAAAACCGGGGAAATCCGGCGCAACCCGCAGGGTACGGGCTCAGTCTGGGTGCGGTGTCCTGTGGCCGCCGCCAAGAAGTTGGCCGATGCCGGTCGGCTCAAGATCGGTTGGGTGATGGCGCGGGTTCAACCTTTGGACCCAAGGCCGCAGCGGTGCTATCGCTGCTTGCTCACGGGTCACGTGGGCCTGCGATGCACCGCTGAGGAAGACAGCAGCGGAATTTGCTTCCGCTGCAGCGAGCCCGGCCACAAGGCCGCACGGTGCGCCGCACCATCACCGAACTGTCGGTACTGTGCCGCGGCGGGTCGCAAGTCCGACCATCGAGTGGGCGTCACAAACCTGTGTCGCCCGCCAAAGGCCCGAGCCGCGGCACGGGCCACAGGTGGGGGGGGGGAGTCGATGGACACCTGAGCAATCAGGTGGGCATCGACTCCAGACTTGACCCTAGGGTGGAGGATTGTTAGGGCAATCCGAAGCTCACCGGGGAGGCATTAGGGTCTGGAGGTGGCGTGCAGAGACTGTTCCCTGCACGCCTAGATGGAGGTCCCTTCGATGGGAACCATGCCGGTGGTCTTGGTGAATGCTTTGCGTATCCCATGGCCACGGCGATTATGTCGAGGAGGAACAGTCGTCAGGTTTTTAGCAGGTAGGAGTCCGGCAGTATCCATTCTTCCCTAAGGGAATGGTTCTCCATGATGGATTTTCCTGACGTGAAAAAAAAAAAAAAAAAAAAAGGTTAGGTTAGGTTAGGTTAGGTTAGGTTGGGGCGTGTGGTCGGGCAACCTCCTAGTATGGGCCTGCCATTGGGAAGCTTCCCCATCCTCGTGGATACGTCCGCGGGGAACGGTGGCCGAGCAATGGTTTGGTTCTGGTACGCCCCGGGCGGGATAGTAGACGTTCCTTCGGGATACTGCTACTATGTCGGCCAGTAGCCCGGCGAGTAGGGGGTGGGCGCTGTTTAACGGCGCCCGTCCAATTATGGTGGCGTGCCACCTAGGCCGATTTCGGCGAGAGGGCGACGCGAGCGGCTAGGACAATGGGTCCTGACCCCAACCGGGACCCGTCCAGGCCGTGAGCGAAGCATTCGGGTCGGGTCCGGTGGTGCTTTGCGCATAGCCGGACTGACTCACACCGCAAACTTGCACTGGGTGTTGATGACAGGAGGTCGTCCACCTAGTGGGAGAGCGGGGGCCCTGGGTTCGCCCGGGGCTGCGAGGAGCCAACCTCTATAAAAAACCGCTCGCGGTCGGCGTCAGAGTTGATGAGGAGGACGGAGTTGCGGGCAGGAGTGCCCGTAGACGACGGAGTTATCTCTGGCGAAGACTACGAGTGTACCTTCATACCGTAAACTTGCACTGGGTGTGATGACAGGAGGTCGTCCGCCCGGTGTGGGAGCGGGGGCCCTGGGTTCGCTCGGGGCTGCGAGGAGACAACCTCTATAAAAAACCTCTCGCGGTCGGAGTCAGAGTCATGAGGAGGACGGAGTTGCGGGCAGGAGTGCCCGTAGACGACGGAGTTGTCTCTGGCGAAGACTGCGAGTGTATCTTCATACCGTAAACTTGCACTGGGTGTGATGACAGTGGTCGTCCGCCCAGTGTGAGAACGGGGGCCCTGGGTTCGCCCGGGGCTGCGAGGAGACAACCTCTATAAAAAACCTCTGGCGGTCGGCGCGGCTGTCGACGAGGAGGACGTCGTCCGGGCGAGGAGCGCCCGCAGACGACGGAGTCGACGAGGACAGCGGGAGGATCGTTGCTAGGCGTCTTCGGACGCTGGGCAACACTCGAGGAGGCAACACTACCGGCGCCTACGGTTTAACCGTGTGGCGCGGTAGTGCTTACGGAGGATACGGTCCCGGAGGCGCATCGCGAATCTGGGTAAGTATTCACGAGTAGGCAGCTCCCGATTTTAACATGTTAAGATCGGGAGTCCTATCTGCGGAGGACATCCCCGGGCTGCGCCTTGGTGCGGCTTGGTGGGCAGACTGCTGACGGCGCAGGGAGTACGTCGCCGAAGGTAAGTATGCGTGTGTCGCCCCGACCCGTCGGGGCACCGGGCGGAGCGGTGCCTTCAGGACCGCTTCCGTCCGGCGGGATAAGGCTATACGCGGTCGCGGCTGCGGTGCGCTTCTAGCGCAACGCAGCGGCGATCGCGGCCTTTGCGTGGGGGGCGGAAGGTGTATTTTCACCCGAAGCCCCAACTTGGACACTCGGAGCGGAGGATGTAGGGGCATCCGAAGTTCCCAGGAGGCGAGTGATCCGTGGAGTGTGGGCGTGGAGTGGTCCCCGCGCCCAACTTCGGCGGCTCCTTCACTGGAGACCCGCGGCCGGAGTGCGGTTGAATGCAAATGCGAACCCGCACGAAGGCGTCTTTCGTGGTTCATGGAGGAACACCGAGGGGTTTTGGTGGGTCGGATTCGTCCAGTCCCACAGTATTCGTCCGCTCCCCTTCATAAAGGCGGACGTTTCGGTATTGAAACCTTTCCCCTCGTTAAAAAAAAAAAAAAAAAAAAAGGTTAGGTTAGGTTGGGGCGTGTGTCGGGCAACCTCCTAGTATGGGCCTGCCATTGGGAGGCTTCCCCATCCTCGTGGATACGTCCGTGGGGAACGGTGGCCGAGCAATGGTTTGGTTCTGGTACGCCCCGGGCGGGATAGTAGTCGTTCCTTCGGGATACGGCTACTATGTCGGCCGATAGTCCGGCGAGTAGGAGTAGGCACCTCTTTTGTCTTTTCTGTTTTCGGCTTTGTCTTTTCTTTCTTCGTCTCTTTTCTGTAACTCTGTTTTCTTCTCTTCTTTTTCGTCTTTGCCTACTGACAAGTCAGGTCCGGTGGGTGCTTAACTGCGCAGCCGGACAGCACTTCGGTGCAACTGGCTTCAAACCGTAAACCTGCACTGGGTGTCGGTGATCACGTCTATCGGCCCAGTGTAGGAGCGGGGGCTCTTGGCTTAACCGCCCGGGGCCGCGAGGAGTCAACCTCTATAAAAAACCTCTTGTTTAAGCTCGGTGCCCGGCGAGGGACAGGTCGTCTTGTGGAGCACGCTGCTGGAATTTCATTTCGGCTAGCGTGTTCCCCGGGGCGTCCGGGTCGGAGGAGTAACTTCGGCCGCGAGGGCACCACCTTCTGAGAACTAGCCGCACTCAGTCGTATGAGGCCGCAGATAGGTATAGGAGCTCTGCCTACTGTGCAACTTTCTCCACTACTCGTGGGAACAAGATGGAAATGAACAAAAAAACCAATGACGAGGTGTCCGAGAAGGACGTAGCGACGATGGTGTCCGCGAAGGACGGTGTGCGAAGGGAGTCCGAGAAGGACGGAGTTACTTTGAAGGAGTGCGCGGTTGTGTTGACTAGGAGTGACCGGACTGACTTTGAAGAGGCTGGCCCCAGCCGGGAACAAATCTCGGACCTGGAACACTGGGCCAGAAGGACAAGATCCAGGTCTGTTCGCGGGATCGACTGCGGTTCTTCGCGGGCGAGCTCGTGCACAGGCCTGTCTGATATGGACCTGGACGAGACATTGCCACCAGGGCGCAAAAGGCGTCTCTCGGAGGCCTACTCGGATGAGACATCGGCGGCGGAAAACCGCCCACTTAAGGAGGAGAGAAAGAAGGCCGCCGGCCCCAAGTCACGGGTGTCGGCGCAAAAAAGAAAAGAGCTGGAAGCCTTCCGCTACGAATTCTTCGACGGTGGACAGGTTGCGCGGACTGAGGAGGCTGCAGAGATCATCCGCAGGGTTCGCCTGTCGGTTCTCGACCATACGGCGGTCATAGAAGACGCCATCCGGAGGTCCGGAAACCTGAAGGGGACCTTCGTTAAGACAATGAAGGAAGGGCTGACCGGGATTAATAGAGTAATGAGCACCCTGGAGAGTGACTCTGTCCCGAGTTCAGTCACGTCCCTGATGGTCCGGAACCTCCGGCTCCAACAGGAAGTAGGCGAACTCCGCAAGGAGGTAGCCAAGCTCCGCACCGCAAAAGCGGCCGGGCCGGCGAAGAAGGCGGAAGCACCCCAAAACGAGGAGCTGGGCACTCTTAGGGCCCAAATTATGAGGGACGTCGGCAGCACTGTCCGCACAATTGTGGGGAAAATGATGACCCAATTCATGGAGGAAGTCCGGGAAAGATTGAAAAATCCCCCTTCCCAGTGCAGTACAAACCGCACCAGCGGCACCAATCTTGGAGCAGCCCCAAGACGCGGTGGCCTCCCAGCCTGCCCCAGAAGTAGGAGGTCGGGGTTCTGACCCCCCAGGCCAAAAAGGCGGGTCCAAGGCCAAGACCAAGAGGGCGAGCAAAACTGCGCCCCAGGGACAACCCCCAGCAGTGGAATCCCCGGCTATTCCAGCCACACAACCCACCGCCGGCAGCTCGTCATGGGCTAAGGTGGTGAGGGGAAGTCGGGGGAAGATGACTACGGTCCCCCAAAATCAGGAGACGGCCACCGCCACTCAGGCGGCAAAGAAGGCTAAGGAGACGCCCAAAAAGAAGATGAGTCCGCCGCTCCCTGCAAAGTTACGGCTGCCCCGCTCTGCGGCGGTGGTCATAACCATCGGGGAACCGGCTGAAAAAGAGGGCGTCACTTACGCCAACATCCTACGCGAGGCCAAGGACAAAATAGATCTCCGCCCCCTCGGAATAGACGGCTTGCGGCTTCGACCCGCGATTACCGGGGGGCGGATACTTGAAGTCTCCGGCACTTCCAACGCCGAGAAGGCCGATGCGCTTGCGTCCAAACTCCGGGCCCTAATCCCGGAAGATGTGGCCACGGTCTCCAGGCCTTCAAAGACCGCGGAAATGCGGGTCATGGGCCTGGACGACTCTTTGACGCCGGAGGACATCGCCGCCGCCGTTGCGCATGATGGAGAGTGCAATGCCGAGGAGGTAAGGGTCGGCGAAATAAGGAGGAGCAGCCCTAAAGCCTTGGGGTCTTTCTGGGTCCGCGGCCCGGTGGGGGCCGTGAAAAAGGTCACCACTGAGGGGCATATCCGGCTTGGCTGGGTGTCCGCAAAGGTGGAGCTGCTGCGGCAAAGACCGCTGCGGTGCTTCCGGTGCCTACAGAGTGGGCACCCTAGAAGTCAGTGCACGCAGGAAGAAGACCGCAGCGGTCTATGCTACCGATGCGGGGAAGCCGGACATAAAGTCGCCGGGTGTGCCGCGACCCCAAGATGCGCACTCTGCGCGTCGACGGAATGCCGTCCGGCGGACCACTGGGTGGGGAGCAAGAAGTGCACCCCGCCCAGAAGCAAAGGAGGGAAACGGCCCGCCTCACAGGTCCCAGGCCGTAGGAGTGGTGCAGAGGAGGGGATGGACATCAACTCCCTCCTAGCGATCGAGGAGGCAGGGGCGGCGCAAGTTGCCCCTAGATCGCTACCGGGCCGGGGTGACGACCGCGGGGGCGGTCCCACTCCACCGAACTA